TGTTGTGTGTGTGTGTGTGTGTGTGTGTGTGTGTGTGTGTGTGTGTGCAGTGTGTGTGTGTGCATACAGCAGTGTTAAAATACTTTAATGCTTTAAAGTACAAGGTACATAATGATTTGAGAGCATGTGTTTCCTACCAGCTGTCCTCTGACTTTGTAATGTTTATTTTACTTTATTGGGCAGTGCTTCAGATGCTGCAGGTTGAACAGAAAGTTGTGCCAAACTCCATTGAAAATGTGTCGTATTTAAGACTGCCTTGGTATTTTGGTAGAAATGGGCTGAAAGAGGAAGATTTTCATATGAAGTCTGGCACGAAGTCTCCTTTTATATCAGCTGAATTTGTCTGAATGTCTCTGTGCTGACCCCTGCAGATCCCCCAAATGTGTGAATCTTGACTGTATAATATCTGGTGGTGGGGGGCTGCGTGGGAGCCTTTAGCTGTTATAGATGAACGCAGCAACTTCCAAGCCTGCATGGTTGTGGGAACGTTCAGGCCTTTGGTCACTTTGGCAGTTTGTCCAGAAGCTGGCAGTGAGTGTAAGAATTAAAGTGCTACGGTGCTGGTTTGTTTATTGTACATTGCCCTATTCCTAATGAATAAGTATTGGAGTTCAACAGCTTGATAGAAGTCGGGACAAACGATAACTTCAGTCTGTTTGATTTTCAGTTTGGCACACGGAGTCATCTTCCTGATGGCAGAGGTTTGTATGCAGAGAAGAGGGGGTGTTGAGGGTCCACAAGGATTTTTTCCGCTTGTTTCATGACTGTGTGCTCATATAGGCTCTGTATGGGCTCATATTCTTTACTCCCTATTATCCTCATAGCTATTTTGTGCATGTTGGCCAACCTGCTTTTCAGCTGCACTGTTAAGTTATCAAACCATGCTGTGAATCTAATGATGCTCTCTAGGATCGCCCTGTAGAACATCAGCATGATCTGGCTGCTCACACCGTACAGTTGCAGTCGCCTTAGGAAGTACAGTCTCTGCTGCAGTCGATTATACAGGTGATCAATGTGTGTTTTCCAGCAAAGAAGGTTGTCTGTATTGACACCTAAATATTTCTACGAGGACACTTGGCTAATTTTCTGGTTTTTGATGAATACTGGCTTGTGGTTAGTCACTTGTCTCGTGTCAAAGACCATCTCCTGTATTTTGGTGACATTTAGAATGAGATGGTTGGTGTCACACCACTTAATAAAGGTGGCTATCTCATTATGGTACACAGAAGGGTCCATGTCCTTGTGGAGAAGGCTCAGGATCGCTGTATCATCAGCAAATTTTATAATATAATTGTTAGGGTGTACTTTCCTACAGTCATTAGTGTACAGTGAAAAAAGTACAGGTGATACCACACAACCTTGTGGGACCCCAGTACGCTACGTTTGGTCTCGGACAATGTTCATTAATTTTCACTTGTTGTGTCCTATTAAAAGTTAAAAAATAATAAAAACCATTTAATCAAGGAAGGGTTAACACTCATATCCTTGAGTTTTTCTAAAAGCAAATAGAGCTGCACTGTATTAAATGCTGAACTAAAATCAATAAATTCAATTCTAGCATGGGCTTTTGTGTTCTCAAGGTGCTTAGAAGTAAAGTGTGAAATGCAGAGGATGACATCTTCAGTGCTGCGTTTGTTCTTATAGGCAAATTGCCATGTATCTAAGTCTGGCTCAACTTCTTTCTTGAGCAGAGACACTACACATTTCTGAAAACATTATATGACAATAGAGGTCAAAGCTACAGGACTAAAATTATTATTCACTGTGGCAGAGGGCTTTTTAGGCACTGGTGTTATAATTGACTTCTTCCTCAAAGCTGGGACAGTATGAGTGTCCAAAGACCGTTGGAATATGGGACACCATGCTGGTGTTAGTTCCTCTGCACAGCTTTTAAGCAAGAAAGTCCATCTGGCCCAGTGGACTTCTTAGTGCACACCTTACTAAAAAGGGACCGTACACTGGACGGGTCCACTTCCAGCCAACAGGTGGCATCAGTATCTGGCAAAGACAACAACATACTGTCATACTGCTGAGAGACGTTCTGTACTCAAACCTCAAGTCAAAGTCATTCAGCTCATTTGACTTTTGTTGTTCATCCACAGTGATAATTTCTTGTTCTGCAGAGTTCCTCTTTGTAACTGATTTCATAGTGTCCCAAAGTTTTTGGGTGTTTAAAGTTTGAAAGCTCTTTTTCATTGTTTGCTGTTCTCTTGCATTTGTAAGGAGCTGTTTAAGTTATTTTTGTACTACTGACAGTCCTGCCCTGTCTTTATCTATAAAAGCTACCTTTTTCCTATTTATACAATCTTTTATTTCTTTTGTAATGTAGGGTTTATTGTTAGGATAAACAACAACTTCTTTTTTGTCTACCACACTGTCCACACAGAATTTCATGTAATCAGTTATAGTAACTGTAGCTTCATCAAGTTCCAGTTAATGGAATATGGACCAGTCTGTGAACATAAAACACCCCCTTAGTGTCTCAATTGTATCGACTGTCCAAACATTAACAGTCTTATGTTTAGGTTTGCTTGACTTGAATATCGATTTATCAGAGTGAATTAAGTATATGGTATTGTGGTCTGAGTTAGAAAGAGGGGGTTTCCCCCATACAACAGGACTTCTATGATATTATGACCAGACCTCCCACCTCCAAACATTTGATCACTCGGCTTGTTAACCTCTTCATTATGGCAACCTCCTCTCCATATTAAAGAGGCGTGGATCAAGGACACACCGGCAAAGTAATCTCTGACAAGCTATGGGCGAAAGGGTTAAATAAGATAAAAGCATGCTCTATTAATGCTTGACTTCCGCTCATTCAGTTTAAAGTAGTTCATAGGTTGCACTATTCCAAGACTAGACTGAACAGAGTTTTTCCTGCTGTCTCCCTCATTTGTGATTATTGCAAATCAGCTGATGGAACTTCGGGCATCTTTTCTGGTCCTGCTCTAAGCTCACAAGGTTCTGTGTTGACATTTTCAGTTTGTACAGAGCTGTTTATAATAGACACCTGCTTCCTGACTGTCTCTTAGTGATACTGGGCTGCTCCAACAGTTCTTTGGCTCTCCATCCGTGTGTCCCTCGCTTCCGCTGCGACCTTGTGCTGGTTTGTGTTGCTCGGATGGCAGCGGGCAGATGATCTGGTGGTGTGGATTGAAATGATCGGAGGGATAGTATTGTATCCCTGCAGTATACACGGCGTAATCCATATTCCCACTGTGAAGTTGTTGCAGAACAAAGAACTTAAAGTCCACTAATGATCAGAGCCAGCAGGAGGACGGCTAAGTTTTTTAGGCCCGAGGCTATTGTTTGAGGCTACCAACAGTTGCAACATTAAACAGTCACAAGCACAAATCCCTTTAAAGAGCGCACTGCCGTCAAACATGACCACTTAAAACACAAAAACAACAAAACATTAGCTACAGTAGCACGAGCCCGGGTCGCTGCAGAGCCATGCCACCGGACGTTTAACGACTTCTGCCCTGTATCTAAAGCTCTGACACAGCTGTTTGTTGTTTCTATTATATGAATAAAAAACACAGTACAGACCTCTGATCTGTATGCGGCACTGTCCTCTTTCACTTAATATTATTGTGGAGCCATTGTCTGTAGAATTGTATGAAATGTTACACACACATGCAATGTGGCTCTAAGAACAACCTTCCCAAATTTGCTTTCAATCCTATTGAGAATTTCAAGAAAATGCTTAAGAATCGACCACATGGTGGCACAATTGTTCTGAAGATCATCACACATCATTCTGCCAGTATCGGGTCTATAGTCAAATATTTTGGAGACGTTTGAAATAGTAAATATTGTGTGTACAGTACTAATTACAGTAAGATATTTATGGTCACTGCAGATTTATCTGAACACCGTTCGAAATGTGATTTCTAGTATCCAAAGAATGTTTGTGTGGATGTTGTTGGTATTTGAATGAAGACTTGTAGAGATGTAGATGTTAGATGTTAGATTTTAATTTTTTTTAAACAAAACACAGAGTGAGGTGAACAGACCATAGGTTGCAGTGAGAAAAACTTTTCACAATTGTCACAATTTATTTAGATTTTTAAAAGTTTTGGACTCTGAAACACTTAATAACAGACCACATGGTGCCACTGAATACATGCTTTAATACACCAATCAGCCATAACATTATGACCACCTGGGCAGCCTGACTGCAGCTACGCAGCCCCATACACAACAAACTGTGATCCACTGTGTGTTCTGACACCTTTCTATCAGAACCAGCATTAACTTCTTCAGCAATCTGATCTACAGTAGTTAGTCTGTTGGATCGGACCACTCAGCCTTTGCTCCCAACATGCATCAATGAGCCTTGGACACCCATGGCCCTGTCTCCGGTTCACCACTTTTCCTTTCCTCCATGATCCTCAGAGTCTGAGGACTGTTTGATGGATCAACTCCACACTGTGATCCCACTTTAAAGATATCTTGATTACAAACAGCAGTTCCTCAAAACGAGCATTTTCAAAGTTTCTAACCCATTTCTGATTTAACCCCCAGCTGGAGTCTCTACATGTGTTATATTGTCAGTGGTGGA